CTGGTTGATCCACTCTGAGAAGGTGCTATTTAAGAGACTGAGCTGAATACAGCACCTCACACTGAGGAAGTCTCTCGGATGAAAGACGAAACGTTTCTAGATTTTTTTGGTTGTTTTACTTTGTTGTTTTACTTTGTTGTTGTTGTTTTTTTTATGTCCAGATGACCAGATTTAACTTTTTTTTATTTTTCTACCTGAATTATTGAGGATGCATCAGGATATGTTAGAGTAAAGTTTAAAAAAAATCTACAGCCGCTACAAAAAGCAATTTGATGGAATTTTTACATGACCCTTTACATATATATATATTCATATATATATATATATATTTATATATATATATATATATATATATATATAGGGAGAAAAAGCCACAGGCAAAGCAGAATGTTCAAAACAGAAACAAGATCATCCATTTTGGTTGTGTGTTCTTTTCCAGCTCTTCTTCTTCTAATACGTGTTAATTGTGGTTAGTAAAGAGCTTAATGTAGCACTAGCACCACCAGCTGGTAAGGCGCGTTAATATTAATGATACGCCCACTAAACGGGAACTATGGGTACTGTGGAGACAGAAATAAACTGGTCCCACCGGAACCGGCCTAAATAAGGCCCAATAGGGTCCTACAAGAACCGGACCTGTGGATAAGGGGCTATAGAAACGTTTTTGTGATAAAGATTGCATCTTCAGAGCTTCCATGAAAAATTGTGAGATTTAAAAAACTTAAATATGGCAAGTTTCTTACCATCTCTTAACAGTTTTTCTTGGGGGGTGGGGGATACAGTGGTCCCTCGTTTATCATGGGTGGTTGGGACCACGCCCACCTGCGATAAGTGAAAAACTGCAAAGTAGGATACAGTAGTCCAAGTTCAGTTCATGTTCAGTAAAGTTTGTCATGACTTGCCAGACTGCAATCACACTCATCACCTGTTACTCCCAACCTCCCTCCTTAAATAAACAATTCAAATTTAAATACTCTAACATTTTAAATAAACAATCCTTACAGCATGGATTGTTTATTTAAAATGTTACAGTATTTAAATTGTAGATAAGTGCAGCAGGACATCAAAGGGATGACA